AGGTGTCAGGAGAACAATGTGCATTGAAACACCAGAATTCTTGTAAATATGGAGTACTATTATGCTATGTGGCAATATGTGAATGCTTGTAATCTTAGGTCATCATACCCTGAAAACATCATGGCATGATGTTGATCTACTTTTGGTAGCAACTAAAGTGTGCTAGTGTTGCAATGTTGTGTACTGTGAACATCTTTCTAAAAATGTTGGTTAGTTCTTTTAGCTTGTGCTGCAACATTTCTTTTTCTATTGGTCCATGCTTGTCAATGTTTGTCCACTTTTGCAAAAATGTTGACCCTATGCACGATCTGGTAGTCAACCTTTGTTGTTGCATGGCCACATTTTTCAGATGTAACAGTAGTGAGACTCGGCTTTTTCATTAGAGCATTTCAAATGTAATAGTAGTGAATTTATGTTGTTTCATTAGAGGATTTTTAGGTGTAACAGTAGTGAGACTTGGTTGTTTCATTAAAGCATTTCAGATGTAACAGCAGTGAATTTTTGCTGTTTTCATGACCACATTTTTCAGATGTAACAGTAGTGAGACTCGGCTATTTCATTAGAACATTTTAGATGTAACAATAGTGAAATTATGTTGTTTCATGACCACATTTTTTCAGATGTAACATATGATTAAGGTACTTGCAACATATGATTCAGATACTTGCAACAGACTGCTACTACCAATTCGACATGGTCAATTAGAGTCTCAGAAAATGGCATAACAGAACATCAATGTGTTTTTTGCCATACTTCACCACATGCAGCTATCTTTTGCTGCGGGTAGTCTTTAGGGCACATCCACTCAAACTTTGATACATCACATTTGAGAACACCACTTGCAAGAGCAGCAATTAATTATATTGTAAAATGCTATAAATTAAATTAAAAATGATCTAGTGCTATGACCTAATTATGAACAAGAACTCAAACTAGAGCTTCAACTCTGTTTCTTTCATTGCTTTCAGTATCTCTTGTGCTGTTTGCGTGTATTTGCATGTTTGAACGCTATGCCTGTCTTCATTGCAATAGGAGCATGGGGGAGGTTTCTTACTTCTCTTCTTCTTCTTTGATTTACTCTTCTTTATAGCTTTCTCCCTCACTTGCTGCACAATGCTCTTCTTCCTTTCCACTTTATCCTTTGGCCTTCCTGGTGTATCATTGGTGGGAGGGTTGTTCACCATGGTTGTGTTGACCATCCTTTGTTCTTGTCATTCATCTACTTCCATACTTGCTGCACTTCCGGCTGCCTTAACATCTTCCCAAACCTTGTCTATCCCTTGTGAAGCAATTTTATACTTGTTAGGAGCAAAACAAGCATCTGTTGCTAGTCCACTCATTTTTCTTCACAATGCATTATATCTGAGCTTGTTGGTTGCAGGAACACAAAACAAGCTTTAGGTGACAAGAGGTTTTCACTGATCTTTACGGTTGCTTCCTCTGACCATCTTCTAAGCAAGTATTTCTCTAGAATTTGTTCTACATCGCAGCTGGTGAATACTTTCAGAATGTGGGGACATAAAATTCCATCTTGCTCAAACATATTGCAGGTGCATGAATATGTTGTTGCATTATCTTGGACTGAAACGTTGTAGGTTTTCCATGTTAGCGGACCACATCTGCGCACTTGTTTCAATATCTCTATGGAAACACCTTCACCCTCTACAGTGACTTGCCCCTTCTTGCATGATGTTGAGTCACGTAACAGCTCCTGGAATCTAAAGAAAACACTCCTAGTGCAGAAGCGAGCAGCTTGCTTCTCAAATGCATATCTCCCCCAAAGTGGTGGTTCTGAAATCTCACCCTTGCAGCCTTCAAGATTCTTTTTCTCAATCCTTGTGTCCATGATGTACTCATATTGTGTTACAAATTGTAGCACCGAATCTTGTGCATGCACTAGCTTCTTGAAGAGTGAATTCATACTTTTCGGCCTTCCTCTAGTGCTTGTGAAAGGGAAGAATGATTTCCTAAAGTATGCTAGCGCCCACATTGTCCTAGCAACTGACATGTTCTGAAATGCCTCATTCTTATGCAGGTTGTACTTCTCCTCCAAGCTATGCCACATGAGCTCAAATTCTTCTGGCGTTTCAGTATAATTAATGCAAGAATCGAACTCATTAGCAAATTCTTCACTAGAGTTGATCAGCCAACCAAGTTTCTCACAAGCCTTGCTCACTACATGAAATTTGCAGCATCTATGTACAACATCAGGGAACACCAGCGCTATTGCAGCTTTCATCGCCTTATCTTGGTCGGTCATTATATTCCTTGGTTCGAGCCCACCCATTGCTTCTTTCAAGGTTTGGAATACCCAGACAAATGATTCAATCATTTCGTCCGGAAGCAAGGAACAACCAAGCAATATGCTCTACATATGGTTGTTCACACCAACTATGGGCACAAATGGCATGTTGTACCTATTAACACAAAAGGTTGTGTCAAAAAAGATACAATCCCTGAAAGTCTTGTACATCTCCCTTGTCCTTCCATCCACCCAAAACAGCCCCCTAACAGCATTGTCACTATCAATCTTCACCGCATAAAAAAAGGTTGGACTCTCAGACTGCTGCTTCTAGAAATACTCCAATGTTGCCTCCATATCTTAAATGAACTCCCTTCCTCAGGTGACTCCTCAAGTTTGAAACATCCTTGCTGTTGTACAACAAGTTCCCAATCCCACCATGAAAATCAGAAAGCACAGCCATGATTTGCATGGTGCTAATGTTCCTATGGTGGAGTGTCTTCAGAAGCTCATAATCTGCAAACGAAATGCACCGATGGGACCTTAGTTGTTTCCTTCTTCCAATCTACTTCACCAAGGGATGTGTGTGTTCTGCTTTCATCATAACCACTCTCCATTTACCGTCCCGCAGACCAACTGCCATATGTGCCTTGTAGTTGTATTTCTTAACAGTGTTGCACTTCTATGACGCTGTGGTCAGTACAACCGAAGAACTCTTCTTCTTTGAGGCCTTAGCTTGTGCTACATCTTTGGTCGAGCTCTTCCTCTTTGAGGCCTTAACTTTTGATACATCATTGGTCGCCGTGCTAGTTGAAGTGTTGTCCTCCTGCTCACTATCTGGCCTTCTGGCATGTGTGCACTCAAATTCCTTCCTAATAAGCTTCTTAGTAACAGTACTGTTCCTTGATGATGCAACCCGGATATTGAAACCCATTTTGAATGCATAAACATTGTAAACTCTCCTCGCTTCTTCAACACTGTCAAATTCCATGCCCATAAATGGCACAACAGGCTGTGAACACACAACATCTTCTTCTTCATGGTAAACTTCTTCTTCAGATGATACATCCACATCAATATAGCCTTGCACATCAGTGGCATTGTTGGAGACACTCTGATTGATATCAATTTCACCTTGGCCCTGCAAAACAATGATGCAAAAGTTTTAAGCATGACACACATATGCATCCTCCTTAAAGGAAACTAATGAAACAATGCTTGATGTAGTAAAAAGATCTTACTTCAGTAACAATTCCACGTGATGTATGAATAATTGTGTGACTGCAATTGTTATTGCTCGAGCTTGCGGCATTTTGTGGCAGTTCAACAAATGTTTGTTGTTGCATGCTGGCACTATTTACATCCTGCATATACCCCATGTTGCAAACTGCATAAGTAGATGTTTCACGTGCTATAATTCTATGTTCCATGGTACAAACATGAAGACAAGCAACCATGGACTAGATCAAATGAACACAGTAAATACATCATAAATTTGAGGTCATCCTGCTTTACACCCCATGTTGCAAACTGCATAAGTAGATGTTTCACGTTCTATAATACTCTGTTGCAAATGGTAATCTGCATACAGTCTGCTACAGATAAGAACAAGAAACTATCCACTATTGCAAGCATAGGTCGAAAGAAGCTGGAAATCATAGATCTTACCTCAGCCACGCCATGAACATATATGGAAACGCTCCTGGAAATGGCAGCTGCGAGATCTCCATCTAATCGACGAACAGGTAATCTGCTGCTCGAAGCACCTCCTCCATGAGTCTGCTTGAACAAATCCACCAAATCGTTTGCAACGATTGGGGGTGGGCGATGTGCATAGGGATGATTCTCTGGGGGAAACTCAATTTGTTGCAGTAGGTGAGACATTGGGGGTCAATTATTGCAACGATTGTCGAGCGGCGCAGAAGAAGCCGCGCGCGGCGGGGAAGAAACATGGTCGACCGGAGCAGCACACGACGGGGAGAAAGGGAAGCAAGATTTCTAGGCCGTTCGGTCCATGGGTTGTGTGCTGGGCTTGTGTCCACGGGAACCGTCCGATGGATCGGTATCCATCGAACGTCCGGGCGCCGGTGCTCCCCAAGTTCATACTGTTTGATTTATCGAAAAGCGAGAATTACATTCTTTTCTGGACGGATGGAGTACTTTGTTACATGCATGGCAGATCACTAAGATCAAAAAGGCCTGGTGACAACGTGCTTACCCATTTGTTTTATCGAAGGAATTAGTAAATTTTAATTCATCAATGTTTGCATCTCCATGATGGAAAGTAAAGAGTGCAAGACAAATTGAGTTTATATAAAAAATTAAAAATCCATGGGTGCACTTGGGTCCACTCAGTCAGTGGCACGACACAATTCAAACAGAAGCTTTTGCTCAGTACAGAGTTCAGGTAGAGCTCAGTACAACACGAAGATGAACTTGAAAGTTGAAAGAACAAACTCAACAGCTACTAAAGACCGCAAGAAAGATTCAAAACCGTGCACAATGATCACCATTTTGAATTCTATATGGCTGATCAAAGTTAGTGGTATAGCACCAAGCGCTGTTGACGTATCATTTTCTGTGATCTATTTCTGTACAGTAGTGTTACACGATGCACATACACAGGCAGTCTGGGAAAAGGAGCAGCTCAAAACAAAACTATGCCAACTCAATGCGCCTTGCAAGTCTTTCAGTGTATCACACGTGAAACTTGTTAGATAATTCAGATTGTTAGGTGGAAACCGCAGCTTGTCAGGACTCAGGCTTCCCTTGCTGACAAAATATGGCGAACAGCCTCAGTGAAATCTTCATGGAATCTCTGATCTGAAAATCTTTGTGCACGTTTCCTAGCCACAGCTGCCATTTCTTGCCTCCCTGACTCCGGCATCTTCAAGACCTTGATAATTGCTTCAGTGTAATCTTCCTTCTCGGAGGCTAGAAATCCTGTTTGATGCCCATCCTCATCTAGCACAATGTCCATCATTGGTCCTGCCGATTTATGCGCTGCAAAAAGTGTGGAAAGCACGAAGTGTTATGTTTCCAAGATTAAAGTGCGTATCAAAAGAAATGACTTATGCACCAGCCTTTTTAATTAGTGCCATCAGAAAATCCAAAATATGTATGTCCAATCTCACCCTCAGTGGCATTTCGCACATAGCTTTAAAATTTACACATTACCTTAGTATTTAATCCAAATAATGAAGGAATATGAAACTTAGGCAATTACTTACCAATTGGAATAGCTCCAGCTGCCATATACTCAACAACACTTATTCCGAAATGTTCATCTGTCATCGAATGGAGCCCAGCAATGGCACCCCCAAGAAGTTGTACCAGGTCTCTGTTAAACAAATAATCCTACCAGTTAACCGATAGAACATGCATGGTGAGAATTTTTTTTGAAGTACTACGTAGAATACAGTACCTGTAAGAAATATCCTTGTAGAACTCCACAAGCTCATCTATGTGTAGTTCAGTGGATCTGTCCTTAAGCTTTTGTAGTCTGGCCAGATCCTCTTTATTCCGGCAACTACCGACAAATTGAAGCTTTGGCTTAGGAAAGTCAGGATCTAGCCTTTGAAGAGCAAGTGCAAATGCCTCCAGCTGAAGACCATGGGCCTGGTGGAAAAGCGAGAAAGATAAATGTTACTCTGAAGTGGGTGATCGGAAGTTAAGCTTTTACATTTGAATCTTGACATGACATACCTTTTCTGGGCGGAACTGTGCAACTGAAATAAAAATAGGAGGCGTTGTTGGTCTTTCCAGGGGAAGCTTCTGCATTATAAACCAAAGGTTTCAGATGAAAACTAAGAAAATCATTTTTATTTAATTTAATGACATAAAAGGTTATCAGGAAGAATAATTAGTTAATTTGCTTCCAAAATGTGTTCAGATAATGAGCACATAATTGATTGATTAGGATTCATAAGAAAAGTTTTGCAACACAGATGGTTGCAGTCAAGACATGCCTGAAGAGAAGAAGTATCACATGGAGGGTACACCCTCTTAGTACGCTCTGGGATCTTCCAAATGTTTATAATATGGGATCTTGTCCATGACGAATTAACCATTACAAGATGTGCACATGAACCCACCAGACCATATAACCAACTGAATATGGTATAGTAAAGGATTTTGCATCGGGACAGCCAAATGCTACAGTAGAATGAGTGTCATTATTATTATATAAGAACAGAAAGGTACAATAATATTGATCACATATACAGAAACAAAGATAATATACAGAAACAAAGATAATTAGGACCTCATTCATAGCTATGGAAACAGCAAAACGAAGTAACTCATGTTCCTTAAACTTTAAGCCAACGAGTGGGCAAAATAATTACTAGTTGAGCATTACTTGATCCTATTAATCTATATGTGGCATCTTAAGAAGGAAGAAACATGTGTTAATAAAGAGCTTAGGGTAGATTAAGACAGCACTCAGGACAAACATGCACGGTTAGCAAGCACATTATTGGTGATTTTATCATGTTTTGGGACTTTGGTTTCTCAGATACAGTAATGCATCATGTTTCTGTATTACATACATTGGTGGACCAATAAAAAGAGTTCAAGCTAATCACTCTGTGCAGTGCATACCTTCCTGCGATACGAGAGTTGTTATTGTACATAGAACTGTGGTGCTTAACACGTTCAACCATATCAGAACTGATTGTAGGGTAATGAGTATAGCAGATGACTTTGCAACCAAATAGCCGAGCCAGTGGATATGTAAAAGCATAGCCACTTGTATCAAAGTAAAACTGGGGGGTAAAATTAGTAAGGGCCTCCCATGCAAGATAAACGGAGCCAAGGCTTTGCCCAATCATTGTGAAGTGGGGATAGGTGCTTGCTTCGATCCACTTTCTCTTATTCAAGTGAACAACCTGAAAATGCAGCCCAAACAAATCATTAATAGTGCTGGTATGTCACATCTGCTAAAGAAATTCTTTAATTAATTTTGTAAACACGATAGGGAAATGCTGTAGTACGAAAGGTAACACACATTTCCCTCACTCAGTGAGTTACTAAAGCCACATTTTGTTTATATTATAATGACATTGATTTAAATCCCAATATACAGTAGAGGCACTTCACTCAATTTAGCCTTTTCAGACTATATTTGGCATTATTGTTATTTCCTTTCACTATGATTCCAACTTTATCTGCAATGGATTCAGACTAGGGAGGTAAGCACAAATTTTCCATGCGCATCTCAGAAACTGCCAACTACCAATGTCTATTTTTGTATCATAGAATGTATTTAGACCAGCAATAACAACCAGTTATGAATCAGCCAAGCAATGATATACAGCCCCAAAGGTTCAAGTAGGAAGCAAGAATACTGTACAGCATAATTCCACTACATGAACGCAACTCCTAACACAGCTAACAGCAGCTGCCAAGGAAGACAGGGAGCCACGCAAAAAGTTTGCATGTTCGACCATCGCTGGACAACAGATTCTATGTAGCAATATAATGCAAGAAAAATTCAGACAAGGCAGTCGAACAGTATTATTCAGAATTGAGAGTCAGTATAAGCAAGCAGGCCCTAATAATAATATGAACCGGATTTCCAGTGCGGCGCAATGCTCAACTGAAATCAACGGGGCACGACTAATCAGGTGCACTAACATCAGTCATTTCAACTTAATGGAAGCAGCTCTGCAGGACGTCAAGCATCTCGAACAACCGAGATCCATTTTTTTCTCTCTCTTTATTTACAAAAAAAGGTGGAAACCCCGACCAACCAGGTGGCGCCGTACCTGCGGCGGGCGGAGGAGACGGACACCGAACCGGTCGAGCGCGCGCGCGGCAAGAGCATCGGGCGCGGCGTCGGCATCGCCGGTGTAGACGGCGCAGGGGAGGTCCGGGCGGAGCTCTTGCACGGCGCGCACAGCGCACCAGAGCACGCGCTCGCCGCCGCCGCCGTCGTTGGTGTACGGGTGGAAGAACCCGGCGGCGTCCGCGGGGCGGCGGCGCGGGATTAGGAGGCGCCGGAGCGCGGCGGCGAGGAGGGCGGAGAGGACGGCGACGAGGCCTGCCAAGATCGCCATGGACGCGACCGGAACTGCGAGTCTAGTTGGGCTCGAGGAGGGTCAGTTTTTTTTATGTCTGGCGGGCTTGGCCCATGGGCCGAAGAATTGACTTGGAGGAAAAAAAACTCTGTAATAAAGCACTTTACTTGGAACTTTGAGCTTTCTTTTCGAGAGATTTCCTCTATACTAAATTGCAGTTTACTGAAATTACATTAGAGGTAGTGAAACTTCAATTTCAATGTGTAGAAGTGTTGTGCTACAACAGGTTATTCAAAACACATCTATCTTATAATCAATCTTTCTAGCACAACAGTTCTACCACATCTCAAATGCTAGAAAGAGTTCATGTTCCAACCAGGGAGAAGGAAGGAAGAAGAAAGATGAATTTGACCATTACATGTGGAAAATGAAGAAGAAGAATTCGTTCTAGCATTTATTTTTCTAGATCTGTCGCTAACTAAAATTTCTATCACTATGCAATCTTAAGGGCTTTTTTGGAAAGCAAGATTCTCGAAGCACAGGAATATGAAAATACAAGCATATAGAGTTGCATGTAACTTGCAATCCGGAACCAAAATGCAGAAAAGTTTTCACTCAGCAATAACACATCCTTACCGGTGCACCACCACCATACAAGGATTGCTACCTATGCCAAGCAAATTTGTGACGGCACAAAGTAAGTAGACCGTCATGCGTGCCTGAACTCGTAAGATAAAGATTGAAATTATTTTTGTTTTTTTTAAATTACACAGTACAACGTAGACACTTACAACACGCACGCACATTCACCCCTATGAACACACGTACTCAAGCCCTACCCCTAAGAAAGAAACAATAATTTATGAGAGAGTAATATGTACTCCTTTGATTAAAAATATATATATAATTTCCTCCATGTATGAATGAGCCTCCAGCCTAGTGGTTGGAGCTCCTCAGCCGAGCAGATCAGATTTGAATCCCCATGGAAACGAATTTTGAGCTGTGTTAAAAAAACAAAAAAAAAATAAGTAGAGGGCTCCCCCTGCTGATGGTTCAAAAAATGTATTATTGTTCTTAATAACTCAATATATATCTTAAAAATTCTGGATTTGCATCTGCTTCATTCATATATTAAGTATTCCATCTGTTTCAAATTATAAAATGTTTTGGCTCTAGATACACATAGCTTTTACTATATATCTATAGACACGAGCAAAAGTCATGTAATGTCTATAACATTTGGAACAAGAGAGTAACGACTTTGCAAGGTCTATCTGTTATGAGTACTAGTACCGATCGATCTGCCATGCATACGTATGGGACAGCATGTATGCATATCATCTCCATAAGTTGGTAATCAGATAGTGCTGCAATCGGCGTTCTGGAAGGAGAGCCGCCCCCCGCCGACGTCAAAGAGGATGTGCATGTTCTGCTGCTGGAAGTTGCCGATGATGCTTTGCTGGTACCCTCTGACGATCGCCATGCATGCCGTCGACTTCTCCAGCGGGGCCCAGTAGTTCTCCGGAGGCAGGGCCATGTCCGCGCCGCCGCTGAAGTGGAGCACCAGCGTCGGCACCACCCTGTCCAGGTCGCCGCGTGCCACGCACAGCGCCATGCCACCGTCGTCCTCCCCCGGCGGCGGCACGAGGCTCCCGTTCAGCTGCCGGGCAAGCTCGTCCACCAGCGGCTTGTACGCGTCTTCCACGAGCGACGTGAAGGGGCTGCCGGAGTCGATGATGACGCCGCCCTCCCAGAACCCCTCCTCGACTTCCTGGAGATCGAACGCCGAGCTCGGGATGGGCAGCTTGGTCTCGCCCACGGTGATCCCCACCAGCGGGAGGTAGTAGAACGTGCTGTAGGGGTAGTCCTTGGGGCTCTCCACGAACGGCATGGACATCACGGGACCGCCGCCGCTCAGGCTCGCCGCGGCGCCGACGAACAGGTGGCTGGACGCGCCGTTGTTGTGGAAGTAGGGCGTGAGGCAGTAGGAGAACCTCTTGGCGCCCGTCTGGGAGGCCAGCGACAGGCGGCCGCGGCCGAGCCCGATGAGGCCCGACGCGCCTTGGAGCGACCCCGGCCTGACCTCCGTGAAGCTCACGCACCCGAAGGCGAGCGTGGCCCCGCCGGACTGGAACGTGAAGACGTCGGTGCCGAGGGAGCCAATGATGCGGCCGGCGCCGTAGCTGGCCAGGAACGTGCAGCTGCCGTCTAGCGCGCAGAGGTGCACGTCGTTGGCCACGCACGCCCTGTCCCGGCACGGCACGGGCGCGAAGCTGCTGGAGGCCGACGCGTTGAAGTAGGGCAGGTCCTGCCGCTCGCACACCTTCCGGAGGCACGTCGCGCACTGCGTCCAGATGAGGTTGCTGCCGGTGTCGATGAGGGCCTCCGCGCGCTGCGGCGGGTCGCCGACCTGGTACTCCGCGATGTACTGGCGAGTCGCCCAGTGCACTGGCGCACTCACGCCGCCTCCGCCTGCGGCGCCGGCACGCATGGAGGCCAGGTTAATCTGGCGGCTGAGGGCGATGGCACGGCGCACGCGCTCCGGTGCGGTGTAGTTCCCCTTGGCGTCGACATGGGTGAGCTTCATGTGGATCCCTGTGGCGCCGGTGCCGCCACCGCCGCCACTGCAGGTTAGGGCAGTGCTGAGGCACAAGAGCACGAGTAACACCAATGTTGCCGCCATTATTGTTTTGATCTGAGCTTATTCTTGTGCCCATCGAGACCTTATGTATATATAGTGTGGCTGTGCATGCATGGTGAATTGGTGATCCTCATCTCCAATATCCTGTGGGTAAGCAATGGGTTGCCACGCACAAGACGGTTGACTGCCGGTTGACTCTCCAGTTATTATCATCACAAAATACTGCCACAGCTCGGTGACGACAGGAAAATGATGCAGAGGCACGTCAAGCCACATTTTCTTGGATTTATTTGAGTGATAATGGCATTACAGTGATGTTGAAAGTCTACTTGGCGAGTCAATCGTCAGCTTGTAGCTAGCACTTACGCCGACCGTTGTTTTTCTTTTCCCGAATCCTCAAGGCACCGCCACCACGCAGCACCACTAGCCTCTGTCCCTCCTCGATCTCCTGCTCGCCTCGGCTTGCTTTCCATCGTCTGTGACTGTGATCTCCTCGCTCGCTGTCGCTGCAGCGATGGAACCAGTACAAGATGCAGTGGCTAGCAAATCACTGACGGACAGAGCAGGAGCAGCAGAGAAGAAAGGGCAACAAGGAACAGGGTACTATTCGGATGCAGACTTGCAGATGCAGCAGCCCAGCCCAGAGCCCAGCCCCGCACTGCACGCTCCACCTCTGAAAGCTCTGAATGGTGTCGCCATTGCGGAGCCCAACGCCGTGACAGCGATGAGTGACCCACGCCCCAGCCCCGCCGTCATTATAAGCGTGCCGACGTGTAAATTGGGGTATGCTAGTTTCTAACATCAAGGGAGTGTTGGAAGACGGCTAAGCCGGTTCCTCTTCCCAGAGTCTCGGCTGGGCCGACTCCCAATTTGGCTAAACCCACTGCCCCTGTTTTTGACCTGGCCACAGTGTCCGAGCCCGTAAAAACCAGCTTAGCTAGGTTTTCTGCCGAGTACGAGCTGGTTTGTTTTTCAAACCAGTTTTTGATCTATTTTCAACGTGGGAAACTTGAAGAACGCATTTTGGACTTATTTCCTACAGTGATAAGACCATCCTCTCTCTCTCTCTATATATATATATATATATATATATATGTGTGTGTGTGTATGTATAGGCCGATTGAATACCCCGACTTCCAATCATCAAAAACACAACACATATCCTCTTTGGCCCTACTTTCTATCTACCATGTGATAGACATAGTGGATCACCTAGACATAGATCTAGCGGATACAACCTTACATACGGGATAAAAACTTCCTAGAACATGATTTAGAGAGAGAGAGGAAGGGAGGTGAGATGTCACCGACCATCCGCGGGCTTGGAGGAAAAGCTCGACGTAGCCATGGCGAAGGTGATGCGGTCCGGGTCGGCAGTGTCGCGGTGACGGTATTGAGGTCAGTCGCAATGCAGTGGTGGCGCAGAGGAGGCGGTGAAGACGGCAGTGGAGCTTCCCGTCGTTGGCTGCGCCCCTCAGATTGGATTTGTTGGTGGGTGTAGCGGCTCACAGTGAACCTCGTACTGAGAGCCGCCGGCCTCCACCTCTCTTTATAGCGCAGTGCGACGGGGGCCCACCGACCATGTAGGGTTGGGCGCCCCCGATCAGGGCGTGAGGTTAAGGCCCAACTCGGCCGTTGGGCCGAGCTGGAGAGATCAACACTAACAATCTCCCCCTTATCTCATCTTATTACTTAAACTTAACTTACTTTATCTTTTTCCCATTCCAAAACAGATCAGTGCATAGAGCGTGCCTCATCGTCACGGTCAGTGCCATTAGATTAACAGCTACAATGCACCTCTCTGTTTTGAAACAGATTCTCAACTAGGCCCTTATTGTCCAGAAATCATAGGCTTTCCCTTAAACTCATGCCGGCTAAGTGTTCTCTGAACACGTTGGGTGGCAAGCCTTTTGTAAGCGGGTCCGCGAGCATCTTTTCTTTACTTATGTGCTCAAAACTAATTATATGATCCTAGACTTTGTCTTTCATAACATAATACTTTATGTCAATGTGTTTGGCAGCACCACTTAACTTATTGTTGTGAGCATAACATACTGCTGGATTATTATCGCAGTATAACTTGAGTGGCTTATGTATGTTGTCTATCACTTTCAACCCGGGCATGAACTTCTTCAGCCAATTCACCTGCCCTGTGGCCTCATAACACGCTACAAACTCAGCATATATCGTAGACGATGTAGTGATGGTTTGCTTGGAGCTTTTCCACGATATAGCTCCTCCTGCGAGAGTAAATATATATCCTAATGTGGACTTTCTATCATCTCCCGCATAATCTGAATCTGAATACCCCTCTATGTATAGGGAATCATATCTTCTGTACGTTAGCATGAGGCCTTTTGTGCCTTACAAGTAACGCAAAACTTTCTTTACCAGTCTTCAGTGTTTTATTCCTGGATTACTCTGATATCTGCCAAGTAACCCGGTAACAAACGCTAAGTCAGGGCGTGTACACACTTGAGCATATTGTAAACTTCCAACAACTAAAGCATATGGAATAGCTTTCATTTGATCGATCTCATATTGGTTCCTAGGACATTGGAATTTCTCAAATCTATCGCCCTTGACTATGGGAGCAAGTGAAGGCTTACAATTTTACATATTGTATTTCTTTATAACCTTTTCTAAGTATGCCTTTTGTGATAATCCTAAAACCCACTTTCTTCTATCTCGGTGAATCTCTATTCCTAGAACGAACGAAGCTTCACCAAGATCTTTCATATCAAAATTCAAGAACAAGAACTTTGTTTCTAGTAATAGATTAACATCACTACTAGCGAGTAAGATGTCATCCACATACAAGATTAGGAAAATATATTTCTCATTCTTGAACTTTGCATAAACGCAATTGTCCTCTATATTTTCTTGAAACCCAAACTTCCTTATTGTACTATCAAACTTTAAATACCATAGTTTTGATGCTTGTTTTAATCCGTAAATAGATTTCTTTAGGCGGCATCCCATACGTTCTTTTCCTTCCACGACAAAACCTTTTGGTTGTGCCATGTAAACATTTTCCTCCAAATCCCCGTTTAGGAACGTCGTCTTTACATCCATCTGATATAATTCTAAATTGTAATGTGCTACAAACGCCATTATAATTCTAAAAGAATCCTTACATGAGACTGGAGAAAATGTCTCATTGTAATCTATGCCTTCTTTTTGCATGAAGCCTTTCACCACAAGTCACGTTTTAAATCTTTCTACATTTCCTTTAGAGTCATATTTAGTTCTGTAGACCCATTTACAGCCTACTGTCATGGCTCCTTTAGGAATTGTTTCTAAGTTCCAAACACCGTTGGTATTTATTGATCTCATTTCATCTTGCATGGCTTCAAGCCACTTTCATGAGTGAGCGTTTCTCATGGTTTCTTCAAATGAGGTGGGATCACCCTCCATTTGAAATTCTTCACATTCATAGACTTTATAGTCATCAGGAATGGCTGGTTTTCTGACTCTATAAGACTTTCTAGGGGCCTCGTTAGTTGACGCTTGTTCTATATGAGGCTGTTGTTGCTCTTCCTCATGTGTGACAATGGGTTCTATAGGATCCTAAATGACAAGTTCCTCATGTTCATTCATTGTTGCTACGGGAGAACTAACAACATGTGCTATCACTACAGTATCCTAAACTGTTGGTGTAGCAGCAATAGGTAGCGAGAAAAATGGCTCATGAACCATCGGAGTGGGCACATATACCCGCTTCTCTTCAAAATTAATTTCTCATGCTACCATGCTCCCTCTGACCATATCATCCTCCAAGAACACAACGTGTCTCGTTTCAACAAAATTTGTATGTCTGTCAGGATAATAGAAGTGATAACCTTTTGACTTTTCTGGATAGCCAATAAAATGGCAAGTGATTGTCTTGGAGTCTAGCTTTCCTATGTTTGGGTTAAAGACTTTAGCCTCAGCTGGATAGCCCCACACACGTAAATAGTTAAGTGAGGGTTCCTTTCCTGTTCACAACTCATATGGTATTTTGGGCACCGACTTGCTTGGCACTCGATTAAGAATATGAATGGCGGTTTTTAACGCCTCCATCCATAAACTTATCGATATAGTAGAGTAACTTATCATACTTTTCACCATATCTATTAAGGTATGGTTGCGTCTTTCAGCTACTCCATTCTGCTGAGGCTCGCCCAGTGTAGAGTACTGGGCAACTATGCCATTTTTCCTATAAGAACCTTGTAAAAGGTCCAGGAACTTGGCCATATAGGGTGTGTCGACCGTAGTACTTTCTCCCACGGTTGGATCTTACTATCTTAATCTTTAAATTATGCTGATTTTCTACTTCAGCCTTAAATATCTTAAATTTATCCAATGCCTCTAATCTTTCCTTAATTAGATAAATATAGCCATAACAAGAATAATCATCTGTGAATGTTATAAATGAATCATGACCATCCACACTCTTCATAAGAAAAGAACCACAGATGTCTGTGTGAATTATTTCTAAAATTTCTGCGCTTTGTTTGGCATCTTTCTTTATTTTTTAACATACTTTCCTTTTATGTAATCAATGCATTGGTCTAAATCTAAAAATTCTAATAGCAGAAGAATTGATTTCTTAATTAATCGCTCTATTCTCCCCCTCGAAATATGGCCTAAACGACAGTGCCATAATTTCGATGATACATCATGAACTCTCTTCCGCTTATTTCCTGCATTCATAGACGAGGAGACATTCTCATTCTTAGTGCTCACAACATTTACATTCTCAGAAAGTGATAACAAATAAAGCTTGTCTTATCTTCTATGCAAAGAGGGTACATAAAGGACATCTGAAAGCTGAAGTACAAAACCATTATCTAGTTCTAGAGAGAGATCTCCAATGGCTTCAACTTTAGCTTCAACTCCATTTGCTACTTTAATTTTTCTTTCTCCTCTTTGTAGGATCCTCCTCGTATGAAATCCCTGTTATGAATTTACAACATGAATAGTTGCACCTAAATTAATTCACCAAGTAGATTTTGCATAACTTAAATACAAGGACTCATCTATGAATGTAATAATGTCCT